CAAAGTGATCTTCTTACAATTTCTTCCTTGGAAGAACATGGATTTATATTATATCAATTATTATGGCAAGATCCTCAACATCGTAAATGGTATACTGGTGTAAAGAATCAAAATGGAAATTGGGTAAATGAAGCTGATAATACTCAATTATTAAATATGGATAATGCATTTTTACCAGAACCAAATGATAACATACTCAATAAAGATTATCTGGTATATGCTTACCATAATAATTTACAACGTTGGGGACTAGAAAAAGTAACTGGCAGAGAGAAGTTATTATATATTTGTGAAGCCCCAATTTCTAATTTACATAACTTAGTAGATTATGATCGTACTTACCAATATGGTATTGAAATAGATAATCCTAATGAAGTACCTAGAGGACCATATTTTATTAAACAACCTACAGATAAAATATTTGATGTATCAACAAGAAAAATAAGTAATGATGTTTCATTGAGCTGTTTGGCAGGTGGTTATCCTGCTCCAACATATGAATGGTTTAAAGAAGATTATGAGAATGACAGATTAATTGCCACAAAAATAAATCCACTAAACAATACTAGATATACTGTAAGTGGTGGTACTTTAATAATTTATGAACCTGATCAGGTAAATAATATTTTAAATTTTAATAATTTGTGTTAAAAGAAAATTGTTTTTAAATAATATTAATTAATAATTTTTAGACAGAAGACAGGGGTTCATACCATTGTAAAGCAACAAATAAGTTTGGTATAATTATATCAGAAAGTGTGGAATTGTCATTTGGATATATTTTAGAATTCAATTTAAAACGTTCAGAAGAACGTGGAGATCAAAATTGGGGTAAAGCTGTATATTGTGATCCGCCGCAAAATTTTCCTGGAGTAAAATATTACTGGGCACGTGACTATTTCCCTAATTTTGTGGAAGAAGATAAACGTGTCTTTGTTTCCAATGATGGTGCACTTTATTTTTCTGCATTGGAAATGATTGATCGCGGGAATTATTCTTGTAATGTTCAAAGTGTTGCATCTGATACTGGTCGTAACGGACCATTCTTCCCTTTAAGGGTTGATCCACACCGTAATTATTTCTTTTTTTCTTTAATCCATTGAGAAAAACAAAATATTTCATATTTTCATATTTCAGCTTCTTTTCAACAATTGAAGTTCCCCAACAATTTTCCAAAAGTATTTCCAGATGCCCCAATTGCAGGAGAGGAAGTTAGATTTGAATGCATTGCATTTGGATAGTAAGTTAAATCTTTAAAATAGATGTCTCACTATGTTGTTTAATAATTCATAATATTCAAAGTGATAAATTATAATTCTTTCTTTGTATGGTATGAGTTAATATTTTTTATAAGATATATAATATTTATCACCATTTTTTAATTTAATATAGTCCTGTTCCATCATACAATTGGACAAGAAGAGGGGCATCACTACCACGTGGAACATACACAACTAGTTACAATCGAGTATTAATAATACCAAAAGTACATGTTGATGATCAAGGAGAGTATATTTGTAAAGTTCATAACGACAGATTATCGATCGAAAACTCTGTCAGGCTAACCATTCAAGCAGCTCCTAATTTTACCATTCCATTGGTGGATAAACATATGGATAATAGAGGAGAGTTAACTTGGACTTGTGAAGCATTTGGAATACCAGATGTAACTTATAGTTGGTTTAGAAATGGTGAAATATTAGATATGGAAACTCTTCCTTCTGATGATAAAGATCGATATTCTATACAAGACAATGTTTTAAGTATAAAAACTTTAAATCCAGAACAAGACCAGGCTATGTATCAATGCCGTGCAAAAAATCAATTAAAAACAAAGTACTCATCTGCACAACTTAGAATTTTATGTAAGTTATTATGTAAATATTCAATTTACCATATGTCACAGCGCATAACGTGAATTTTTTAAATTAAAATTAATGTATAAAAAGGAACTTTACACGTTATATATAATCCTATACATTATAAAACCTGGAGAAAGGTGGATGAAATGCTTAATAAGCTTAATATAAACAAGGGAAAACTCTGTAGACAGAATTGATAATTAAAGTGATTAGTACTCTTCGGTAAATAATGTATAAAATTCAAATTCAAAGTTTAATTTAATACTTCTCTATATTGCAGCACTAAAACCATCTTTTAAGAAACGACCTATGGAACCCGAAACTTATGCAGCAGAAAAAGGTAATGTTACAATCTTGTGTAATCCTGAAGCTGCACCCAGACCAAAATTTGTTTGGAAAAAAGATGGAAATGTCATTGGTTCTGGTGGTAGACGTAGGATTTTAGAAACTGGCAATCTCATAATTAGTCCCGTTTCAAGAGATGATGAAGGCACGTATGTTTGCACTGCAACGAATCAATATGGAAATGATGAAACTCGTGGACGGCTAATAGTACTACGTAAGATTAAAAATAATTTCATGGTACGTAATTATCATTTTATAGAACAATATTTAAAATACAAATTGCAATTAAAGGTGGTCCACAATTTCTGAATAAGTTACCACAACTTATACAAATGGCAGTTATGCAAAATCAAACTTTGCGTTGTATGGGAGAAGTAGATGAAATGCTAGATGTAGCATATATTTGGAAACATAACGGTTTACGTATTAGAGATGAAGATTTAGTAAATAATCCTAGAATAACTATTGATGCTGAAGAACTTAACATAATAAATGCTACATTCGCAGAAGCGGGAGAATATGAATGTATAATTAAAAGTGCAGTAGGTGAAATATCTAGTAAAACAACAGTTACAATAGAAGGACCACCAGGACCACCTGGTGGTGTAAAAGTTGAAAATATTGTAAAAACTTCTACAACTCTACGTTGGACTGATGGTGCTTTTAATGGTAGACCTATTACTATGTATACTGTTAGTGCAAGAACAAATTGGAATCATACATGGTTTAATATCATAGAAAGTATGTGAATATAATTATCTACAATATAAGTTCATATGGTTATACAAATTTTATGATAGAAATCTATATAATTTAAATATTATTTCAGATATTACTGCTACTGAAGTAGATAGATATAATGGTAGAAAAGAGGCTTATTTGGAGAATGTTTTAAATCCTTATACTACGTATGAATTTTGTGTATCTGCTTATAACGAATTAGGGTACAGTCCACCTTCATCGCCTTCTCCGCAGCACAGTACTCCATCAGATAAACCGACGAAGATTCCATCTAATATAGGTGGAGGAGGAGGGAAAATTGGAGACCTTACGATAATGTGGGATCCTTTACCAGCTTCTGATCAAAATGGTCCAGGAATCTATTATAAAATCTTTTGGCGTCGAAAGTATCATGAGACAGAGTTTCAATCGTTATCTTTAAAAGAATATGGTAATGTTGGTAGAAGTGTCGTTCAAATACCACAACAATACTATTATACAGAATACGAAATCAAAGTCCAAGCTGCTAATGCATTGGGTTTTGGACCAATTTCTAATGAAGTTACAATATTTAGCGCTGAAGACATGCCCCAAGTAGCTCCTCAACAAGTTGCTGCACTCAGTTACAATAGCACTAGTTTAAATGTTAGTTGGTCAGGAATTGAACAGACTCGTGAAAGAATACGAGGCAAACTGATAGGTCATAGGATAAAATACTGGAAAGAAAGTAATAGAGAAGAAGATGCAGTATATTATTTGTCTAGAAGTACAAGACCTTGGGCTCTTGTAGTTGGTTTGCAACCTGATACTTATTATTACGTTAAAGTAATGGCTTATAATTCGGCTGGAGAAGGCCCCGAGAGTGAACGATATTTAGAAAGAACTTTCCGCAAAGCACCACAAAAACCACCATCTTCTGTCAATATATACGGCGTAAATCCTTCAACAGTTCGAGTTGTATGGCGTTATGTACAACCAAGTTTAGAAGAAGAACCATTAATAGGTTATAAAATACGTGTTTGGGAGTTAGATCAAGATATGAGTACTGCGAATGATACTATTATACCTGGTGGTTCGAAATTAGAAGCTGATATTACGAATCTCAGTCCTGGTAAAGCATACCATTTACGTGTTCTTGCATTTAGCAATGGTGGAGATGGACGTATGTCAAGTCCAACGCATACATTCCAAATGGGCGATGCAGCTGCTTTTAGGAGTAGTGCTAGTAAGAAGATTTGGAATGTTACTTTAAGTATATCATTGCTATTATTATTAAGAATTTAGAAAAACGTGTGCTATGAGTACATCTTTTGTATAATGCAGATTTACTATATCATTAGCAACAAATTTCCAAAAGAATAATGTATTAAGTATTTTTATGAGAAGATAAAGACATCAATTAAATGTTGTTTTGAGGTAACTAATCTATTAAACAATGGTACTTGATGAGAATTGCAATAATATTTAATAAATTTTTATAGTGCGGCCAAATGAACATTATTGGATAATAATGTGCGAAATTTTAATGAATTTTGATGATAATATTAATAATACTAGACATTTAAATTGAGATTTATAAAACCATTGAAATATATGTCCATTTACTTTATTGTTGTAAAATTGAATTTCGTTTATTGTAAAGTGTTAAGTTTTACAATAAGCAAAATAATGTTATAAAATAAGTTTTGAATTTTAAATCATAACAATTAAGAAAATAATTTTTCAAGAATATTTACGAATTTAACTGTAATTATTTTATAAGTAGGAACTATGATTTCATCTTTTAATTAAGAATTTTTATGCAAGAAATCATATCAATCCGTCCATTAATACCTAAATGACAATATAATAATTATCACATTAATATATTTTAATAAATTTTAATTTATTCTAATGT